TACAATACAGTACCTAAGTTTATCTTACCTTTATGGAGGGCTCTTGATGGCATATGGAAGATGGTGATGAGGCAACCCGTTCTCGCAAATTCGTAAAGTCAATATTGACTTGTTAACTACGTGCATAGGTGATATACTAAACATAATAGATACCCTTAAAAAGATTCATAGAAAACACCGACCTTACCTAACCTTGTTAGTATCTTAAGATAAGCATCTTATTGCTTCGTAATTACAATTATTACTTAACCTATACCTATTATAGGTTAGGTAATAATTGTAATTACGAAGCAATAAGATGCTTATCTTAACATACTAAGTAGGTTAGGTAAGGTCGGTGTTTTCTATGAATCTTTTTAAGGGTATCTATTATGTTAAGTATGTCATCTATGCACATATTTAATAAGTCAATATTGACTTATTAAATTTGCGAGAACGGGTTGCATGAGGGGGGAGGAGAAGAGATGTTGCTGTTTGGAAGGGAAGTCCCCTTCCATTATCACATCAGGCAGTGATGTTTTCTCTGGGGTACTCTCTCTCCTACGTTTTGGCTGAATACCACTAGGACCTGGTTGTGGTTCAGTGCTTGTTTGTCTGACTACAAATTTGTCAAGAGACATGTGTTTTTCCCTTCGTTTTAACATTTGTCTGTAATGATGCATCACTTTAGCACCCATATTGTCCTTTTTCTTAGCCAGTATGGTGGATATCGTTGACTGAGATTTGTTGTACTGCCTAGCCAGTCCAACAACCCGCACTCCATCTTCATATTTACGAATGATCTTTTGTTTCTGCTCTATGGGCATCCTTCCATGGGATCTCATATGTTGAGCCTTACCACTGACTTTCCTGGGACTCATGGCATGATATATAATAATTACTTTAATGTTCAAAATGCAAAAAATCACCACGAACGCGGAATTTCTTTTAGGCTCAATCGTCACTAAGCGGGTAGCTGTAGTAAACTGAGGCAGGTCGGACCGCGTGACCGGGAACCATGCACTTGGTCGACCCAAACGTGTACCAACAAATATCGTTAGTCGACGACACCATCGTATGTCGAGTCGTATATTTTTATGAAATTTACATCGTAACTCGAAATTATCGTAAGTCGAGGTGCCACTGTGTTTTTCTGCAGCCATCTCCCTATTTTCTGGCGAAGAATGAGACTGCTGCTTTCCGGAGATGTCTTTGGTTTTTGATGCTTGGTTGGTCAGGCCAGGGGTTCATCATGTGTTGTGTCCGGTTGCGGCCCTGCGCCGTTATCTGCCCACCACGGCTTCTGTGTCCTGGGATGCGCTTTGGGTTGAACTGGTTTCCCTTCTACCCCTGTTCACGGGTTCGGGTTGTCTGCAGGGTAATTAAGTCTAGCCAGCCTGCTATCTATCCCTATGCCCATGACATTCATAAGTTTGCTGCTCTTGTTGCAGTCTTTGGCAATATGTCTTGGGCCCATGATTAGTAGTCTGGATCCGTTCCTGCTAGCTACAGAAGCTACTCTCTCTATTATATTGATGGTGGCCATGTTGTTTCTATCATATTCCTGTCTGGGTCTTGTGTAGTTTGGTGGAGGTTATATATGACTACTACTATAATATTTTGTCCTCCAATTGCTATGGTACCTGTTATGTAGTCACTGAAATCTTCACAGCCCTGAACAACCATCTCTTCAAAACTCCAGCCTTTTCTTATCAGCAAAGCTACACCACCTCCTCCTCTTTCTTCTCTCTCTCTTTCCTCACTACATAGTAGTCCTGTGGAAACACTGCATTTATTTCGTTAGCTTTGTTTCTGTGAGTGCTATTATGTCTGGGTTTTCTTCTGGTGCCCCATTCTCTAAGTACACTTGTTTTATTCGTAATCCCATCAATGTTAGCGTACATTGCCTTGAAGCTCACTTTCTTTTGTTCATTCTCTTGTCCCCCTTCTTGGTGAGCGTTCTCTGCTGATGGAGGAAGCTGTTCAATAGGTGTGAAGATCTGTGAGGTGGTTAACAGGGTCACAGTGGATTCTGGGGTGGGGGATTCAAGGGAAGGGAGGACAGGTAGGGTATGGGGTAAGGAGGTAGTGGGACAGGAGAGAAAGGTGGGAGGGGGGACATGGTGGGAAGGAGGAAGGGGTGACAGGGTCAGAATAGGGTGTGGGGGGGGGGGGGGAGGGTTGAGTGAGCATTTGAGTGGGAGCAGGTAGGGTGAGGGGGTAGGGAGGGTTTCTATGCAGAGGAAGGTGGTGGTGTTGCCCCTCCCCTCTGGTGTTGCTGGGATGCTGGTTGTGGGTTCTCTTGTTTCTAGGACTGTTGTGTTGGGGGCTGTGATTTCCTGGTTTACTTCTCTCTCCCTGCGCTTCCTCCTTGCCTCTGTCGCCCAGGCTCTTTCCTCCTTCGTCCTGTCCCTCTGGAGGAATACTTTTTTGTCTTCCTCCACATACTGCAGATGACTCTTCCTTTCTATAATAACCTCCTTCATGTTTTGCAAACGCTATCTGCACCAGGCGGTCTCTGTCCTTGTTGTACCAGCTCAACCTGAAAACCTTCTCAATGTTTTGTTCAGCCCCTTCCATCTTTAACGTCTTTAGTATCCCATTTACTGCCTCTCTGTCCTTGCTATTCCATTCTTTCCTATTGGATCCTTCCTGTTCTTTGATGCCTACAGCTATCACTGATCTTTTTCTCTCCAGCAGCTGACTGGTGCACCTTGCTGCTTCCTGTGAGGTAGCTGCTTGCATGGCTACCTCCCTCACTGTGGCCATTGCTTCTGTGCTCTTTCTCAGTATTTCCACACATGTTTCAGGTACAGAGGAATTTCCTTCCAATGTGCCAATTCCCTCTTCCCTTTGGAAGATAATCTGATGTTCAGTCTCATTATTTTTCTGTGAGGGATTTGACCTCCTCCTTTCCTGCTGTCAGCTCACTTTGCAGGTTGCTAATTGTATTCTTCATTTCATGCATCTCCTTCCTGAATTCCTCCCAAACTTGGGCGGAAAGATGTGGTGGCCACACCTCGTTGCTTTTTGACTTGCAATATCAACTTAGTGGTTCGTTATGGTGAACAACTAAGCTGGTATAGTGAGTCCAAACAGTAAAAGGTGATCACACAGAGTCAGCAGACAACACTACCTACACCAAGATTACTCCTCCCACTACAGCGCTAATTATCACAACAATCCTGCTAAAAATACTATGAAAATCAGGTACAATATTTCACTGAATAATTATAAGCTATTTGATCTTACAAAATTGTCTGAAAACTGATGAAATGTGTGATCTATATCTGTCATGTACCAATTTGAATTTCATAATTGTCATCACAATTGGATTTTGTAAATCATTATACAATGGATGTTATGGTAGAATTATATATTAAGTATATATTATATATGAGTATATTGTTATGGTAGAACATGAGGGGAACCGTGGTCTTTGATGGCCTAACATCAGAGCCTTTGACATCCGAAGTGGAGTAAAGCAGGGCTGCGTACTGGCTCCAACCCTATTCAGAATTTTCTTCGTAGTTATGCTGCGGCACGCCTTTGGATCTGTCACGGAAGGCATTTACCTCCGGACCAGGTCGGATGGAAAGCTCTTTAACCTTGCCAGGCTGAGAGCCAAGACGAAGGTTCGGCTGAGGTGTCTGCGCGACTTCCTTTTTGCTGATGACGCAGCAGTCACTGCCCACTCAGCCGAAGACCTCCAACGGCTCATAACCCGCTTCAGCAAGGCCTATCAGGCTTTCGGACTCACCATCAGCCTGAAGAAAACACAAGTCATGGGACAAGGAGTGGACTCCCCACCTAACATCGGCATCTCCGATTCCAAACTGAAAGTCGTTCATGACTTTGTGTACCTGGGCTCCACAATCTCTGACTCCCTCTCTCTTGATACGGAGCTAAACAAACGCATCGGTAAGGCATCTACTACCATGTCCAGACTGACAAAGAGTGTGGGCCAACAATAAGCTAACCGAGTATACCAAGATTCAGGTTTACAGAGCCTGTCTCCTGAGCACTCTCCTTTATGGCAGTGAGTCTTGGACACTCCGCGCCCGCCAGGAAAGACAGCTGAATGCCTATCACATGCGCTGCCTTCGACACATCTTTGACATCACCTGGCAGGACAAGGTGACAAACAACAACGTCTTGGGGAGAGCAAGAATCAACAGCATGTACACAATGCTGAAACAGAGACGAATGTGCTGCCTCAGGCACGTTGTGCGAATGGGCGACAGCAGGATCCCCAAGGATCTCCTGTACGGAGAGCTGATGCAGGGAAAGCGTCCAACAGGCAAGCCCCAGCTACGGTACAAAGACGTATGCAAAAGGGACCTGAAAGCCATGGACGTCGATCTTGCTATATGGGAGACACTGGCTGCAGACCATCCAAGCTCCAAGTTCGAGGAGTCACTTGCCAAGGAATCGGAGGCAAAGAGACAGAGAAGGAAAGCCGGTAGCCAGGAAGACAGACCAGAATCGGATTTCGTTTGTGCTCGGTGTGGGATGGATTGCCACTCTCGGATTGGCCTCATCAGTCACACCAGACGCTGCACCAGGATTGACAACTAAGGTGCAACTCCATAGTCTCCCAAGATTGAAGGATGCCTACTACTACTATGGTAGAATTACAAAGCAAAATACTTTCCATACTGTTAAATTTTAATTTCTGCTCTCTAATCTTGTAAAAGCATACAAGACTACAGTATTTAGAAGGACCATATTTTAACCATTACATTTTTTCAGCCTCATATTTTCATAATATATCTGAATATATTAAAATTTTTTTTTTTTTTTTTTTATCCAAACTGGGTCCTGTTACTCTTCCTCCTATCAACAACATGGAGTCCCACAAAGAGTTGTTTAAGTGCTACTTTGTTCAATTATTACAGTTCAATTAATGATATTACTGGTATATCTCATTCTTATTGGAATTTTCTTTATTCTATGTGATTTAACTATAGTATTTGTTGTTGTGGAAAAAATTTTCCTCAGGTGCAAAAATAAATTCCAAGTTAGTCATATAAGGTATTTTTATTTACATTAATAACTATACTCTACATTTTGTATTTCCCTAAAAATTTTAATATAGAGCATTCAAACAGAAATACTGTCCATTTTATCTTTCAAAAGGCTTTTCTATTTCTAGTACTTATTACAAAGTCTAGCCCACAACAACGAATATGGGATCATGTTATTGCGTCTATGAAGAGTGGTATCAAACACATCAAAGTGTGCCTCTTGTAAAGAATTTAAATAAGTGGATACAGCAACACTGGGAAGAAGGCAAACTCTCGCATCCTTAGGGACACTCTTCAGAAGACTTCGTGCCTGCAAAGACAGGTCATTATTAAAGTTTTTAACCCATTTCCATCTTTTGTTATTGTATATTCATATATGAAATTTAAATGTATTGGGTTTAACAATATCAAGTATAATTAGGGCATTGATGAAATTTTATAGAAAATTTTTTGGTATTACATACTGTTAGTAGTAACATGCCAGAATGTACACAAAAAATAAATTAGGAAGATAGCCCCTCCCCCACAAAAAAAAAAAACAACAGCGTTGAATGTAATGAAACGCCATTTTCTGGGTGAGTCCCGGAGGCTCCCCGGAGTTATCCCACTATCCAGGCTGATATGGATATTCCTAATTTTGACATCAGTCGATGTGGGTGGAGTTCTTGCCTACCGGGCACCATGAGCCAGAACCTGGTCACCCTTCCCACTACTTCCATTTCCCCCATCCCACACCCTCCCCACTACCTTAACCCCCCCCTCCATCCCGCACCCTCCCCACTACCTCTACCCCCTCATCCTGCAACCTCTATCCCCCCATGTCACACCCTCCTCGCTACCTCCATTTCCCCTCCCTGCTACCTCCATTACCCCCCCCTCCCTCCCCGATACCTGCCATCTGTACACCAGTTGATTGACAGTTGAGAGGCGGGACCAAAGAGCCAAAGCTCAACCCCTGCAAGCACAATTAGGCGAGTACCTACACCCCCTCATCCCCCACAATGGACCCTTCCAGTTGTACCCCCTCCCAGCCACATGGACGGTATTCATTTTTTTTATTGATACGGTGGGCTTCTTTGCTACCAGCCGAGGCAGACTTCCCAAGCGCCTGTCATTAAACTCTTATTTTTTACTGACTGGTTGTGACTGTAAATGGCTGATTGACTGTGAGTGCCTGATTGACTGTGAGTGCCTGATTGACTGTGAATGCATGACTGACTGTAAATGCCTAACCAGTTGCTACTACAATTGTAAATGCTTGACTGCCTTTGGCTATGACTGCCTGTGACTGGTCTTGACTGAATGCTTGACTGACATGTTGTGACTGGTTCTGACTGGCTGCCACATAACAGAGGCAGTGAAATGTGTGAAAAGAAAATCTGAAACCAATGATGCAGATATGAATGTGTTTAAGGCGAAGCGAGCATGGGAAAGTCTCACCACCTCCTCCCCCCCCCCTCCCCATACATCAACCCTGCTCCTCCCTCCCTCCTCACCGTCTCCCATGCACCAACAAGTGTTCTCAATAAAGTTAAAGTGCAGTTAAATGTTCACTGATTTTATTTATTTTTTATATTTACACCTCATTGTTTTGTGTATGAAAATATGAGTAGTATTCTGTATAAAATGTATTTTTAAGTTAATATTTTTGGGGGTGTGGAACGGATAAATTAAATTTACATTTTTTCTTATGGGAAAATTTGTTTCGGTTTTCGTATAGTCTCTATGAATGGATTAACTACGAAAACAGTGGTACCACTGCACATCACAAGGGCCACCAAGTAACACACACACACACTGTCAATTCTCCATCCAGCTGTTACCCTCAACAGCCCCCAAATGGTAGCACTCACACTAACTTTGGGTTTCCTCCCTCAATCATTGTTGTATTTTTATCGACATTAAGAAAAACTGCTGCACAGGGAAATAGGAACTCGAGGGAGCATCCAAGTGTCACTGTTTCATTTTTTCATTTTTGTTCGAAACCTAAAATTTCCGAGTTATTCCACTCAGATGTTTCCTAAAGCAAATGCCAGAAAAAAATAAAAAAATAACAAAAGTAGTAAGAAAATTTATTCGAGTTGAATAATGGGTGGCACTGAAATGTAAAATCAATTTAGACCAAATCCAGTGACAATGAGGAAACCCAGATGTAGATTATGGAGAATTACCAATGGCAACATGCCATTACATCCAAACTAAGCTATTTGTACTACAGTACCATAACCTTCCCATAAACAATATGAGGTGTGGATTTGAAGATAAGTACAGTACTTATCAATTCTGCCTTTAAGTGCATACACAGTATTAGACAGAATTCTATACTGTAATTTATTAAAGAGTTCAACAGCAGTTTTATTTGATTAGAGATGTATGTTGTTTCTTTAAACAGAGCCTTTTAATGATTTTAAATACTATCTATGCTTAATAATCTGAATCACATGGGGCCCACCCCCATTCAAGTTGCCTGGACATTCGACTTGCCCAAATTTCTTACTGTGAATGTAAAAAATGATTTTTTTTTCACAAAGTTCAAGCACTTGTAGCTTATTTTTAATAAATATCATCATTTGCTTTCTCTTAACACCTCCATGTCGACTGCTGCCATTACCAGATGTGGTCTTTGCAAACAATTATCTGTTTTGATTAAAACAAAAATGTCAGGACAGAAATCTTTCAGAGAGGAACAAGGTAGAATCAATTTAGGGGAAGAAGAACACTTAGGTGAGCAGGATGATGGGGTCGCAACTGGTCCACCTGGAGAATGATACACTACAGGCACCAGTGGGAGGAAAAATGGCTGTAAGTTTCTAGCTGCTTGTCGACCACTTGTCTCCCTAGACCCAGATTCATGAAGCAGTTACATAAGCACTTACGAACCTGTAAATCTTTTCTCAATCTTTGGCGGCTTTGTTTACAATTATTAAACAGTTAATGAGTTCTGAAGAACCAGGAGACTGTTTATAACAATAACAGTTGATTGGGAAGTTTTCGTGCTTGTAAGCTGTTTAATAAATGTAACCAAAGCCATCAAAGATTGAGGAAAGATGTAAACGTTCGTAAGTACTTGCGTAACTGCTTCGTGAATCTGGGTCCTGCTCTCCCCACTTCCATACCCTCCCCTTACTCTTCCAGTCCCACCCTACTCTCCTCCCCTCCTAGTCACTCCTCACTTTCTCACTCCCTCTCATGCTCATTCCTGGTACCTTCCACCCTCTCCCTCCCCTCCCACAACACCTTTCTAACACCCACCCATCAACCACTTTCTGGATGTAATAAATACCATGTTTTTCCCTTGCTCCCTGCCAGCTGGTGGCTCTTATAGGTGAACTAACAAGAATTTTAAATTTGAACCTATCATGTGATGGGCAACCTTCCCCTCAGTCTGTGAACTCTGGCTTTGCATTCTAAGTATATCTGAACATACTCAACCCTGCCAAATTCTCATTCAACAAAGCAGAATAGTAAGAGTAAATCCAGCTTTGAAAATGCATGTTGCAACTAGAAAGATTTGCCAAAATGAAGTTTATTATATTGAGGTTCCATTGTACAAATAAATTTATAATAATCAGAATATTTCCTAGTGCTGTTATATTTAGAAGAAAGTGGACCACTAAATATACTTTCACTGAACATTAACTCTGAATAAGGAAATATGTTTAAGTGTTTGTTTACAGCCTGAAAAAATAATCTGTCTGAACTTCAGATAACAGTAATTCGACAACCAGAAAACTATCCTTGTCTGAATGCTTCACAGCGACTCCAAAATCCAGACTTTAGGCAATGACTAAACAATATCTGGAAATAAAGTATTCACTGTTCAGTACAGTGTATGTGTAAAACTTTTTTAGATTATTGCATAAGCCTGAAAGATGGTAATGATTTGAGCATTTTGATGGCAGTTTCCAAATTCTTCAATTAGTTATATATTAAGGACAAAGCAGGCAGACAAACATAATAAGGGAAGTTGAAGTGTACAAAAACTTACATGATTAAGGTGTTGATGAGCAAGGCTAGCTGTATCATATACTACATCCTTCACTTTTTGCTCTTTACTGCCACGTATGACTTCTTCTTGAGAAACATCGTGTTTTAACTGAAATATTTTAAGATTGTTCTGTCTGAAAACTTTTCTTTAATGATAAGAGTATCATACAGACTTGAGACATTTCATTTGTTAAAAATATTAAAAAAAAAAAAAAGAGCCATTTTAATTTTTAAGTAATGTATCAACTGAGCAATGCATGTACCTTCTCTATTTGCCTCTATCTGACTCTACTGGTTGCTATATACCTCAGTGTGGGGACCTTTGTAATGTCATGAGCAGTAAGCCTTATGTCACTAATTCACTCATCTAAGACACACTGGAAACACTTCACTTATTATTTACTAATGCTAGGAGTGCAGGGACACTTATACATGTACTGGACATACAGCAATTCATTAACCACTTAACTGCGCCAACCGAGTATTCTCGGTCGGCGAGAAACTGCGCCAACCGAGAAAACTCTGATTTTTCGGTACCAATTCTAAATGTGTACGAGGTTGGTTGTGTACGAAATGGACTCTTAGGACCTCCAGTGAGAGGCAGCCATCTTGGAAAAAATTCCCAGAATGCCCTAGGGCTGCTGACTGGGATAGTACTGAATGAGCAACCATGGGTGGCGCACGCGCCTCTGGCTCCCAAACACCTGTCCGACGCGGTGTTGAAAGATAACGCTCTGTCGGTGAAATTCAAACCTTATTGTTTGAAGAGCATAAGGGGTCATAATATTGGTGAAGCTAGGCGCAATAAAGACCTAACACAAAGATCGGATGCAAGTGATAAAGCACCTATGAGGACGATACAGCGAGCGTATCCAGTTGTAGCTCTGAGCGTCACCCATGCAATCCTATGCAATCTCCAAATTATTTAGATGATACATAGATGAATCGTTTTCTGCATTCAGTGATGATGCATCTGATACAAATAGCATAGATGAACAGTTTTAGCGGCTTCCATGGTGGTGTTTTCCATAGATATTTTCAAGAATACCTGAATCTCCTCCTAACTGACGGACACTCTTGAGGTAAACTGAATCTCTTCCTGTGTGGGACCATACAAAGCGATCTTTTCAAGACTACCTTACAAATTGATCTTTTCCTGTAATCTTTTCAATACTACCTTATGCTTTACAAGCTTGGCTACATACAACCTACAAGTACCAAGGGTGTACGTGAGTGCGTTATTTGCAAGCACACAGAATGAAGAAACAGGAAGCGAAAATTTATCTGTACCTGGTGCAATGAGAGCGAAGTCACGTTGTGTACCATGGACTACTTCGTTGATTATTACTCACTTCCGAAGTACTGAGTGTGTAATACAGAAAAGTGTTACTGTGTAAATTGTGTGTGAAACTGTACATATTGTAATTTTAGTAAATTTTTAACAGGTAATATCACGACAATAAACATTTATTGGGGACACATTACTGACACATGTATTACAGTTCTAGGGAACATTATGAATGTTCTACTGTATACATATGGTAAAGGACACAAATATGCATTATATACGATAAAAAAAACAAATAAAACCGCATTGGAAATACATAAAACAAATAATTAAAAATATATTTGTGGCAGCACCCGATGCTTGAATGGCCTGAATCGCCCAGACCGTGTCTGGGCAGTTCACCCATGGGCGACCAGGCCCTGATGACGTCACAGCGCACCTCGTCCACGTTCCCACAGCCAAAGTAAGTGGAATTTGGTATTTATTTTTACATAGACATGTTCGGGGAATGGAATTTATCATTTTACGAAGAAAAAATAATTTTTTGGGAACACTTCATTTCATGCGCACCCGGGGAATTCCACAATAAACTCGGCGCAGCACCGTAGTTAAGGAATTAGTTAATCATTTGAAAATTCATTAAATAAATATGATTTTTCTCTGCTTTCTACTCAGATTTAACTATGAGGATAAAAGACAAATCAGGGACAAAAACAAGGGATATTATTAATCACTATAACTAACTAGACATGTATATACAGTATGAGTCAATAAATTCAAATGGGGAATGACAAGAAAGATATTTTCAGATCACAAATAAGTGAATTTATTAGCACACAGAATTTAACTGGAATGTATCCTACCAGCTAGAATCTTTAACTGAAGATAATTAATTTAATAGACAAATAACAGTGACTGGAATATGGGAAAGGTACTTACTCATATATAGGACGCAGGAATGCTTGAGCAGTACAGACTCCACATCAAATTCCCTCTTAATTCTGCATTTACACCTATACACAACCCCTCCCTTTAGGTAACATGGGCCAACACAATACTAGTACACTACAGTAATTCTATCTTTCTTGCCATACAATAATATATTAGTTCTATTGCCTAAAAAACCAGCGTTGAATGTAATGAAACGCCATTTTCTGGGCGAGTCCCGGAGGCTCCCCGGAGCTATCCAGGCTGAATGAATATGTATAACTTTCTGGCATCAGTCAAAGTGCTAGGAGTTCTTGCCTACCGGGGACCACGAGCCAGAACCTGGCCCCCTCAGAGAGGCACGAGGAGCAATGGCCTATAGAAACCCCCTAGTGATTGGGAGCATTCTATGTCTGCCATCGACCGGGACAGGCACCCAGAAAGGTAGGCGCCCCAAAACAAACCCCTATTCTGGTGAAATTATTGCTACCGAAAGCCGAACGAGTGGACAGAACTTCCCAAACAGAATATCAAACTAGCATGACGTCATCACGTCGCCGCGCCACCGTCTGCGCAACCCCCCCCCCTCCCCGAGAGAGGGAAGGGGGAGCCTCAGACCCTCCACGCCGGCGATCCAACTGGCAGTTCTTAGGCTGGATGTCAAAATACGCGAAAAACCCCGCCGACCGGAGGGAGGGAGGGATGCCGGGGAGCCTCCGGGACTCACCCAGAAAATGGCATTTCATTACATTCAACGCTGGTTTTCTGGGGGGAACCCCGTCGGCTCCCCGGAGCTACCTCACCACAGATAAGTAAAACAGGGAAGGAACCGGGAGGCGGATACCACACGTCCTAACTGAACAACCAAAACCAGAGACAAGACAAAGACCAAAACGAGAAAAAGACCACCCAGGCCAACGACCAGGACGGCACCAAAACTCAAGAGCAGGCCAGAGGGGAACAACGCCCAGGACAGTAAGTGGAACGGAGCAGAAGGAACCGCAACACTGAACGTAAGCAGGCGCGGCTCTGCCAGCACCACCCAACATGAGGTGACAGGACAATCCCAGACAACGGTCCCAGAACAACCCCGAAGGGAAGACAAACCAACCCTATCAAAGACCGAAGGGCCCTTCGCAGAGATAGGAAAACCAAACACCGCCCCCGAGACGAAACGTGCAGGTGGGAGACCAATAACGAACCCACCAGTGCTGACAGAAATGACAAGAAACGAACACCACGATCGAAAGCTCAAAACGCGAATCAAAAAACAACGACCCCGCAACCCAAAGGAGCAACATAACCAGCTCCAGCAGGGAAGAATGATGCACGCATCCCTGAGGCACCCAAGAGGAGAACTACCCCAGGACGTGAACCACAGGAAAGCAACCACACCTGGTCCGGAAAAGGAACAAAGAAACACCAGAACCAGGACCGGAACCCAGCAAACCCGGTTCCAAGAAAAGGAACCAGGAAGGCAGGAGCGCAGGAAGGCAGAAGCGGCACACCAAAAAGTCCACACCCCCCCCCACAGACAGCGCAACCCGAAGCCTGCATGAAACCACACAGAAAATCGCAGGAACTCGGTACCAAAACGGAACACAGGAGAAGTCCAAAAGCAGGGAACTGAACATGGACAGAGGCCCACCTGAGCACCAAACAGGATAATCAAGAAGCACTGACCCAGATACACAAATAAGTGTAGCATGGGGAGGAAAAACGGAAATAGGTAAGGAAAATCACGAATACGGCTCAAGGAGCGGCCGGGAAGTAACGCACACGCCCAAGCACAAAATATGTAGAGGAGCGCGTACATACCTGAGGGACCTCATGGACAGCAGGGTGCAGTCAGGCACCGAAGATAGGCAAGGAAAGTGTTCAGACAGGGAAAAGACCCAGGGGTCGACAACGAAAACAAAAGCACCGAAATGTTGGGCAGAGCCCCACAGGACAACAAAGAACAAAAGATGGACAAAAAAGGCACTAAAGACACATGCAAGGTGACCAAACATACCACACCAAACACCCCAGTTAGGAGCCATCGCCGCAATCCCGCCAAGCGGGCAAGAGTAAACAAGGATGGAACAGTGAACAAGGGTGGCGGAGTAAGTAGAGTATCCCAATAAGAGACTCACTCCAAATGCATGAGCCTAACGAGAGAAGCAAAGCTCTACGTAGTACCAATGATGGAACTGAAACCGTTCCGTACATCCTAGGAAAATTTCTGCTAACCTTTGGAGAATGGCGAGGCGTCGCCCAAGCATATAACCAGCAGAGTAGCGAATAATAACTAGTCTACCTGCAAGTGTGGTCTAGAACAGACACACGTGAGACACCGTACCGACACTCAGTGCGCCCAACCCATACCATTGCCCGCCAAATATCACCCGCAACTACTGTATACGCAACAAAAGATAGGTAGTTTTAGTGTTTGTGATTATTGACACCAATCTTCACGAAACAATAGAAATGGGGATAGTGGCACACGCCACCCTTGCAGCACATTGCGGGCACGAAACAATGGGCATAAAAGGGATAAGCGCAGAAGCAGGAAAGACCGGAGGAATGACCGGCACGGTAACAGGCCCGGTGATTCACGGAACCAATTACCACGTAACGTGGTGGTGGGGCCCCACGATTGGTGCAAGGGCGGGTTGGACATGTATGTGAGTGGGAATGGTTGGTAAGAAACAGTAGCTGTCTTGCACGGGCCAATAGGCCCTCAGCAGTTCCTCTGTACTTATGTCCGTATGTTCGGACGCACAAGGGGACACAGGAGGAAGTGAGCACCCAAATGAGCCACAGACACTAAAAGAACCTGATCAATGTCAGAGGAGAAAGGAAGCAAAAAACACCAAGAAGTCATGTGGTGGAGGCAGACGCCACCCACAGGAGCAAATGTAGAGAAGACAGAGCCCAGGAGGCTCAGGAAACTGCCCAACCGTCAACTGACAGAAGAGGCAGGGCCCAAGAGCCAGAGCTCAACCCCCGCAAGCACAACGAGGCAAGCACCCCACCAAAAGTGAGAACCAGCACTAGGCCGACAGAAGAGCCAGACTTGACAACCTCACCTGCAGAGCAGACACACGACCGTGCCACAACACAGGCGAGCCAAGTAACATACCAGGAGCAGTGCTAAAGGTGTGCCCGAAAGCCATGCATACTCGAGGCAGTAGGCTTTCTGTACCTACTTTAATAAAATGTACCATTACCTGAATAAAATGCGGAAGTCGAAGGAGAAATACGGCCAGAGGCGCGCGCCCTGCAGAAGACGAAGTAGTACAGAGGGGGAGGAGGCGGCGCCACGCCAAACCATCCCACACCAAGAAGCAGAGGAAGAACGAAGTGACACCCCTAGAGATAAATCTAAAACACCCTCAGCATCCAGAGGGCCACGACTGGAGGGAGAAATGAGCAAGAAGCCGTAGAAATCCACGAGAAACGACACGAACACACGAGCATACCGCCCGTAAACAAAACGCACACCGCGGCCCCAGCACACGAGGTACGAAACGCACCATCCGTCCACTGGGAGGCGTGGCTCATACACCAGGCGGACACACAAATCGTACACACAATGTACAGACACATCGTAAACACACATTGTACAAACACCAGGAAGGCGTGCAGAACGAAGACGAAGAACGCCGAAACTGAAAGTAGAGACGATGCGAAAACAAAACAAGGTGAAAACGAAGCAAAAGAAAACAAATGATGGAAGGGAACCAACAAGATTGACAAAAGACCCGAGGGAAACCACATCGAAAATCAACAGATGTTTCAATAATATTGGAAGGTACGACGAGACTCGCGAACTAACGTGAACCACGACAAGCACCCCTGACCAAGGAACATGCAGGGACAACGATACGAAGCGGTTTAGGTACTATGGACTAGGTCAATATATAAATCCATCAATGTATGTTTCACACCTTGTATGGTGTACCTTACCTGAATACAATGTTTTTTTTTTTTCGGAGAACAGTATCACGACGTAAGAGCGAAAAGGGTAAGGAAAAGGGGGTGAAACACACCCCCAGGAACAACGGGACCGACGAACCCAGGCAGGGGTATACCCGAAAACAACAGGAACACAGAGGGAAGGAACAACCCCACTCTGAGGAACTGCTAGCCCCCACACCAAAGGTACAAAGACCCAAGAGGGGCAAACGGGGCCGAGGCCCCCCAGGCAACCCCTCCCTAACCCCGGGAACCTCGACGGCATGACCTAGGGCCGAGCCACACCCCCAAAGCCCCAGCTTGACAAGGAAAAGCCGGGGCAGCCGTGCAAACACTAATGAAGGGAGCCCACTGGTCAGACCCATACGGCACGGCTGGAGGAACCGACTCGAATGCCTCCGCCGCCACCCCGGAAGAGGAAAACCCCCGAGACCGCCCGAGTCTCAACCCAATCAGACCCCGCCTCAACCCCGAAACCTGCCTATGGTTCGGAGCAAGAAGAGAGGGAAGAAGTGTGTAGAACAGAAGGGGAAGGACAAGAAGCGGAAGGAACCAAAGTCGAAGCGACCCCCACCCCCAAGTCCGGACCCCAACCACCAAAATGGGGCAGCCTCGGGGCATCCGGGGCCGCAAACAACCAAGAGCGTTGCAGCAACCTACACCCAGCAAGCAACGCCGCAGCCGCCTGCACCCGATTATCAAGACCAGTGGCCTGGGTGAAGGAGAGCACGTACCGACAACAAATGTCGGACGACTCCAGGTCACAAGGACCCAACAGGCCGCATGGCGGAGGCACAACCGGTGAGAGTCACCCTGAGACAAGGGGACAGATCAACCGTCAAACTCACAGGACGCGACAGGGACTCCGGGGACACACCTATAGGACCACGGAGCCCCCGTGGGGTTTCCCAGGGCCCTTAGCCTTTGGTACATGCTAAGGGAAGCTCAGGCAGGGTACCGCGAACCGGCGCCCAAATCTACCAACAAACTGCTAAAGCTGAACCCCCGGGACGTGTCCACTCACGGGGGCCAAGCGGGGAGTACCGCCAACAGAAGAATTCGAAAGAAAATCACCTAGAACAGGAAAGGGGGACCATAGGAAAGGCAGACCCCCACCAGGCAAAAACAAAAAAGAAAAACCCTGCAAGAGGACAACGTACCCAGGCGGAACATAGCCGGCTGCTGTTAATATGAAAACTAGCTGTGCAGTACCATGCGCCCCTACCAGTGACGAAAACTACCACCTACCCAGAGACAAACCAGGGCAACAAATCCCCAGCCGACTCCAAGGGCGGCCCAGTACCGAGCAGTAAGGACACAGCGGAGGTAGAACCCAAGGTGACTTGTGGAAGGTGGCCCCAAGCCCCAAGGGCAGTACTTACAGGGCACCTAGGGAAGATAGCCCTAGGCACATGCAGCCTGAGTACCATGGAATCTTACTCCTGGCTCACACCCCACCGGTAGAGACAGTCCACACCACAAGGCACAGAACTGAAACAAAAACCGGAGCCAGAGGCACTCGACCAGCCAGTAATACCATCAGCCAAGAACTGACAGTTGGATCACCGGCGTGGAGGGTCTGGGGCTCCCCCTTCTTCCCTCTCGGGGTGGGGGTGGGGGGGGGGGGGGTTGTGCAGACGGTGGCGCGGCGACGTGATGACGTCATGCTAGTTTGATATTTTGTTTATGGAGTTCTATCCACACGTTCGGCTTTCGGTAGCAATAATTTCACCAGAATAGGGGTTTGTTTTGGGGCGCCTACCTTTTTGGGTGCCTGTCCCGGTCAATGGCAGACACAGAATGCTCCCAATCACAAGGGGGTTTATATAGGCCATTGCTCCTCGTGCCTCTCTGAGGGGGCCAGGTTCTGGCTCGTGGTCCCCGGTAGGCAAGAACTCCTAGCACTTTGACTGATGCCAGAAAGTTATACATATCCATTCAGCCTGGATAGCTCCAGGGAGCCGACGGGGCTCCCCCCAGAAAGTGCCATATTATTGCACACGAAAAATAAAAAACAAAAACAAAATTTATCATAGACAATAGAGGCATGTGCTCTATTACCTAATAACATGAGCAATGTTATACTGTGTATATAACCCCATTCCGACTAACTACTGAAACACTTGCCATAACATCACACGGGAGAAACACTTTCCTCTTCACTCCATGATGTGGAACTCCACGAAGTAGCTTTGCTAATCCCTCTGCTTTGCTCACATGGCTAGCAGCATGATCAGCATGAAGATTTTGAATTCCTGAAATGAACTTTATGTTAAACTTTCATGCTTCACATCCCAAGATTGTAATGGAGTTTATGTACTCCTGAATTTTTTTTTAATGTAACTGCAAGCAATGTTTCAGAAGAATAACAGAACACTCTGCACTTCTGATATTTTGGGACCCTGATACTATGTATATACTATAGATACTGTGTAATTACCAAAGTGTAATTACCTAAGTGTAGTTACAGGATGAGAGCTACGCTCGTGGAGGGGAGGGGGGTATGTGTGTGTGTAATTACCTAAGTAATTACCTAAGTGTAGTTACAGGATGAGAGCTACGCTCGTGGTGTCCCGTCTTCCCAGCACTCTGTCATATAACGCTTTGAAACTACTGACGATCTTGGCCTCCACCACCTTCTCACCTAACTTGTTCCAACCGTCTACTACTCTGTTTGCGAAAGTGTTTCTTATATTTCTTCGGCATCTGTGTTTAGCTAGTTTAAATCTATGACCTCTTGTTCTTAAAGTTCCAGGTCTCAGGAAATCTTCCCTATCGATTTTATCAATTCCTGTTACTATTTTGTATGTAGTGATCATATCACCTCTTTTTCTTCTGTCTTCTAGTTCTGGCATATTTAATGCCTCTAACCTCTCCTCGTAGCTCTTGTCCTTCAGTTCTGGGAGCCACATAGTAGCATGTCTTTGCATCTTTTCCAGTTTGTTGATGTGCTTCTTAACACTATCGGTCACCGGGCAGGCGCGCAGTCAACTTAGGGGTCATGTACCGAGCGTGCAGGTAAGCGTGCAAGTAAGCGTGCGGGTGAGCGTGCAGGTAAGCGTGCGGGCGAGCGTGCAGGTAAGCGTGCAGGTAAGCGTGCGGGTAAGCGTGCGGGTGAGCGTGCGGGTGAGCGTGCGGGTGAGCGTGCGGGTGAGCGTGCGGGTGAGCGTGCAGGTAAGCGTGCGGGCGAGCGTGCAGGTAAGCGTGCGGGCGAGCGTGCAGGTAAGCGTGCGGGTGAGCGTGCAGGTAAGCATGCAGTGACACCTAAATGTGTATACTCGTTTCAGCTTTCTCACCTTAATTCTCGTGCTACATCCTTGTTTTGGTATCATTGTGTTTGCAATTAAATTCCCTACAGGTGTGTATAAATACAGTGGTACCTCGGAATGCGAGTAATTACCTAAGTGTAATTACCTAAGTGTAGTTACAGGATGAGAGCTACGCTCGTGGTGTCCCGTCTTCCCAGCACTCTTTGTCATATAACGCTTTGAAACTACTGACGGTCTTGGCCTCCACCACCTTCTCACTTAACTTGTTCCAACCGTCTACCACTCTATTTGCGAAGGTGAATTTTCTTATATTTCTTCGGCATCTGTGTTTAGCTAGTTTAAATCTATGACCTCTTGTTCTTGAAGTGCCAGGTCTCAGGAAATCTTCCCTGTCGATTTTATCAATTCCTGTTACTATTTTGTATGTAGTGATCATATCACCTCTTTTTCTTCTGTCTTCTAGTTTTGGCATGTTTAATGCTTCCAACCTCTCCTCGTAGCTCTTGCCCTTCAGTTCTGGGAGCCACTTCGTAGCATGTCTTTGCACCTTTTCCAGTTTGTTGATGTGCTTCTTAAGATATGGGCACCACACAACAACTGCATATTCTAGCTTTGGCCTAACAAAAGTCATGAACAATTTCTTTAGTATATCGCCGTCCATGTATTTAAAAGCAATTCTGAAGTTAGAAAGCATCGCATAGGCTCCTTGCACAATATTCTTTATGTGGTCCTCAGGTGATAGTTTTCTATCTAGAACCACCCCTAGATCTCTTTCTTTATCAGAATTCTTTAAAGATTTCTCACATAATATATAGGTTGTATGGGGTCTATGTTCTCCTATTCCACATTCCATAACATGGCATTTTTAACATTAAATTCCATTTGCCAAGTGGTGCTTCATATACTTATTTTGTCCAGGTCATCTTGAAGGGCATGACAATAATCTAAGTTTCTTATCCTTCCTATTATCTTAGCATCATCAGCAAACATGTTCATATAATTCTGTATACCAACTGGTAGATCATTTATGTAGACAATAAACATCACTGGTGCAAGAACTGAGCTCTGTGGTACTGCACTTGTGACATTTCTCCAGTCCGATACATTGCCTTTGATTACTGCCCTCATTTTTCTATCAGTCAGAAAATTTTTCTTTCATGTTAAAAGCTTACCTGTCACCCCTCCAATATTTTCCAGTTTCCAGAACAACCTCTTGTGTGGAACTTTGTCGAAAGCCTTTTTTAGGTCCAGATAGATGCAGTCAACCCAACCATCTCTTTCCTGTAATATCTCTGTGGCTCGATCATAGAAACTGAGTAAATTCGATACACAGGATCTTCCAGATCGAAAACCATACTGTCTATCTGATATTATATCATTTCTCTCCAGGTGTTCTACCCATTTAGTTTTGATTAGTTTTTCCAATACTTTCACTATTACACTTGTCAATGATACAGGTCTATAATTGAGGGGGTCATCCCTGCTGCCACTTTTGTAGATTGGAATTATGTTAGCCTGTTTCCACATGCCTGCTACGATTCCTGTACACAGGGATGCCTGAAAAATCAGGTGAAATGGAATGCTGAGCTCAGATGCACATTCTCTCAGAACCCATGGTGAAACTCCATCTGGGCCAACTGCTTTGTTCTTACTGAGCTCCTTTAGCATGTTTTCCACTTCATCTCTAGACACCTCTATACGCTCTATGTTGTTCTCTGGAATTCTTATTGTGTTTGGTCCTCTGAAGATTTCATTTTGTACAAACACACTTTGGAACTTTTCATTTAATGTTTCACACATTTCCTTTTCATTTTCCGTGAATCTGTTTCCCATTTTCAACCTCTGGATATTATTCTTTACCTGCACTTTGTTTTTTATGAATTTGTAGAATAGGCCCGGTTCTGTTTTATATTTATCCGCTATCCCTTTTTCAAAATTTCTTTCTGCCTCTCTCCTTACTGCCGTGTAGTTATTTCTCGCATCTTTGTATCGCTGGTATGTTTGGGGGCTTGGCCTCTTCCTATACTCATTCCATTTTTGTGTCTTTTGGTCTCTGGCCCTCTCACAATTTCTGTTGAACCAATCCTGTTTCCTAGTTCTGCATCTCTGTTTTGGTATGAATGTTTGTTATAACGAAGATAAGTTCCAGCTCATGCGCTATGGAAAAAATGAAAATATAAAAACGGAAACCACGTACAACTCAGGCAAATCATAACATAGAACGAAAAGGCAATGTAAAGGATCTGGGTGTACTCATGTCGGAAGACCTTACCTTTAAAGAACACAATAAAGTAGCCATCACAACTGCAAGAAAAATGACAGGTTGGATAACAAGAACTTTTTACACTAGAGATGCTATACTGATGATGATACTTTTCAAAACGCTTGTGCTCTCTTAGAGTGGAGTACTGCTGCACAATGACAGCCTCTTTCAAAGCTGGAGAAATTGCTGACCTGGAGAGCATGCAATGATCCTTTACTGCTAGAATCCACTCAGTAAAACACCTAAACTATTGGGACTGACTAAAGTGCCTAAATCTGTACTCCCTTGAGCGCAGGCGGGAGAGATACATAATAATTTACACGTGGAAAATAATTGAGGGGCTGGTCCCAAACCTGCACACAGAAATAACATCACATGAGACCAGAAGACATGGCAGGATGTGCAAATCACCCCCGTTGAAAAGCAGAGGTGCAACAGGTACTCTGAGAGAGAACTATCAACATCAGAGGCCCGAGACTGTTCAACACGCTTCCACTACACATAAGGGGCATAACTGGCAGACCCCTCACAGTGTTCAAGAGAGAACTGGATAAGCACCTCCAAAGGATACCTGATCAACCAGGCTGTGACTCATACGTCAGGCTGCAAGCAGCCGCATCTAACAGCCTGGTTGACCAGTCCAGCAACCAGGAGGCCTGGTCGACGACCGGGCCGCGGGGACGCTAAGCCCCGGAAGCACCTCAACGTAACCTCAAGGTAAGGTACCCAAAGCTATCAGTTTCATTCTCACTTTTCTTGTCTCACCGAGTACATGAAATCACCATAGCCATCTTAAGTCTTTAAAATCTGAACTTCATACACAGGTACAGTACGTAGAGCATTCACAAGAAATCAGTCATTGCCCATATCATTATTCACTCATGAACAAGCATATTCCATCCTTTCTCCTCTTATTCTCTCTCCCTCCTGCTCATATAATTATTATCTAACTTGTTTCTTCAGTCTCACTTCCTCTAAACTTTGTCTCACATATACCTAGCACAGCAAACATTTTCTCCTTAGAAACATTGAGGCTGAATGTAAAAGGTTAGGGATTGTCTCAGCACACACACATGAAGGAAAAAGAATGACACAAATACTAAAGACACAAGACCTAACCAAATTAAAATATAAATGTTGAAGAGTTAAGTGTTTACTAAGATTGCAATGAGGGTACTGTATGGGGGAAGAACATAACAGACCATCAGGTGCTACTGCAGGGATTAACCAAAGAAAAGGAATTCTTGATGTGAGAAAGTGTTTTCCATTATTTTGCAAAAAGTACTCATGTAGAGAATTAAAGCATATATATAACTTAGAATTTGCTTGAAAAGTATCAGGAAAAGTTATAATACCGAGATTGGTCAATGTTCAAAAACATAACAAACCTTAATGGAGCATGCCCACTACACACCCAATCCTTGGAGTATGAGGTAGTACAGCGGGGAATTAGACTTCTCACTATAGTCCTCTACAGCTGCTAATGAGGTGAATTGCTTACTGTCAATCTGGTCCTCGCGACTATCAATCAGACTTCGTAACCAACGTTTAGATAATTGGTGTCTTGCTACGGCCTGAAGGGAGGGAGCACAAACAAAACTGGCATTAAAAAGTGTTTAGCAAAAATATTACAGTATGAAAGAAAAAGCTTCACTAGTAGATGCTAGAAAAATATACCAGCTATAAAGATACAGTACAGTATATTAAACAGCCACTCTAGTATCAAAGAAAATATACCTTAACTGGAGCTAAGCAGCACACTGTAATATAAAGGTACACAGTACTTGTATAAAATCTGATGTGATTCAAAATGTAGCATATAATTTGGAAAGAAAACATGAAATACTGTAGTGAAAATTCCCTAATACTGTATATAAAAAAAAAAAAAAAAAAAATTATTATTAGCATCAAAATCATATTTTCCTGACCAACTACTAACAGGTACGTGTGCTTCAAATCTGAAACAAAATGATAAATTCCTTATTTAGATGCCACCTACAAACTTGGCTTGCCACCAAACTTATAGGAACAAAATATTTAACCAAACTTTTTCTATGATAATTAAATTTAAGTTTGACCTTGCCAATGCAACGTAAAAGCAAGGCATTTGTCATATTATTAATAAACAAGAGATGAACTTATGGCTATGCTCGGTAACGACGCAGCATTGCATCATTCATTAAAATATTTGCAGAAAATCCAGTTTTTATCCGAATTTTTTTGGACTGATTTTAAACTGAGCGCCAACGTCTTCCCTTTCTTTTTGTTAGGCCCCAGTTTGGCACCCAGGTGGCACGGGCCGTGCCGTAGGCCCACTGTATTCGCTCCATTGTTGTGACCGGTCACGCTTCCCCTCACTTCCACAACGTGTGAACATTTCAGATATTGTCCGTTTCTATATTTCTTAGTGCGGCTTTAGATACTATATGCACTTACTCCACGATGAATAGTGATCATGAACAAGGTCCTTCCAGGAAGAAATCAGCGAAAACAAAGCATTATAGTGAGAAGCTAAGTAGTGTATCCCACATCCCACATGCTCCTGATGTAAATGCCACTGGAGCCAATGTTGCAACACCCGGACCATTAACACCAGGACCTTCAGGTGTGAGGTGCCCACTATTCACTTCACCCGTACCTGTAGCTGGACCTTCATCGTCTGAGTCACAAGACGAGACTCTGATTATCCCTAGTGGTGCTTCTGTTAGGACAAAACCCCATATTGTGGATAATCCAGAACGTCTCAACAAAAACTTGTCAATATCCAAGTAAAGATACAGAAGCATCTGAGGTATTGTGTTTGTAGAATGTCTGGTAAAAGGAGGGACACACACTATAAGTGCAAGACGTGTGATGTGCCACTGTGTCCTGCACCATGCTACACCAAATACCATTGCAAGAAACAATTCTGGGCAGATAAGCAGTAATGCTTGCCCACCATTCACTCCAGCTATAAAAAAACCCAGTGTTGAATGTAATGAAACGCCATTTTTTGGGTGAGCCCCGGAGGCTCCCTGGAGCTTATTGGGCTCATGTATGTTATATTAGACCGGGACATTAGCTAAGGAGTTCAGACCTACCATGGACCAGCGCCAGAACCTGGCCCCTTCAGAGAGGTTTCAGGAAGCAATGGCCCTGGAAAACCCCTTTGTGGTTGGGGTTTTCCTTATCTGCCATCAACCGGGGTTAGGCACCCAGAACGGTACGCATAACAAAATAATCCCCACATGGTAAAAAACTAAAACAAAAAACCGAACAGAGAGGTAGAAACTCCCTACAATACACAAGGAAACAAGCAAACATCACACTTTACTGCCGCGCCGATCGTCCGCGCAGCCCTCCCCGCCCCGAGAGGGGGAGGGGGAGCCCCGGACCTACCGCGCTGACTGCCAAGCTTCAGTTCGGAAGCTAAGCTTCAACCAACGTGAAAAAAACGCCGACCGGTGGGAGGGAGGATTGCCAGGGAGCCTCCGGGGCTCACCCAGAAAATGGCGTTTCATTACATTCAACGCTGGTTTTCTGTGGGGAGCCCCTACGGTTCCTTGGAGCTTCATACTGAAAGAGAAGGAAAAGAAAGGGCTAACCCAAGAGGCGGCCACCACAAACTCTGCAACGCGAAGCCAAGACAACAGGTTGTAACCTGCGACCCACAGCAACAAGAACGCACAGGAGCAGACGCCATAAAGAATGGGTGGCCAAGAACCTGTGCGACCCTCAAATCCCTGCGCCCGAAATAAGCCCTAGACGTCACCAACACAGCATCAAAAGCTGCAAACGTCTGAACAGCATGGGCGCAAAGACAGACCGCAGGCTGGAAGACTGAAAAACTCTGCGGACGACCTGGGAGACCCGAGCCCTGAAAACAGGGAACGAGGGGAACTGGATCAACCACAGTGCATCCCCAGACACAGTACGCAGGTAACTGCAAAAAGCACAACCGGACAACACAGGATGCACCCCCGGCCAAATCAATCAAGCATCAAGAACCCAAGAACCCGGAAAGCAGCCGTCTCGACCGTCGCCAGGACGGAGAAAGGCTGCACACGTATACAAATCTACCACCAGTACCCAAAGAGCAGAAACCTGAACCGAAGGGGCTACCACAAACTGAGAAGATAAGGAGGCACCCTGATCAAGGACCAGGACCGCTCAGGTGACGCATGAGCAGGCCGGAGGTGAAACAAAACACGAGAAAGCGTACGAAACGTCATACTGTCACCAAGACGAAGCTCGCAGGTGGGACACTGTCAACAGAGCCACCTGAACACCACAGAGATGGTGATACTCGCGTCAAAATACCAGACATGAAGAGCCGAGGAGAAGGCCGAACCAGTCACGTACAGGACCGATTCGACCTGCCGAAAGAGGCGGAGCCTCGGGAAAACGCCACGCGTTTGGACACCTATCAAGCAGCGTCTGAAAATAAAGCTGGGCCGGCCTCCAAGGAACCATAAGGACTGCTCTCGTGGGAATGGGCTGCAACCGAGCCAGAACCCGAAGCAACAGCTGGACCGGGAGAAGAGGAACAGGTACCCCCACCTCGACCAGTCCTGCCGAAAAGCATCCACCGTGAACGCCTCACAGGTGGATAAGGGCGCCACATAAAATGGGCGATGCCTAGACCATGCCTACTCGAAGACGTCCATGGCCAGGAGTCCATACGTCCGACAGAGCCAACAAAACGAGTGGGCAATGACTGGCCAATCTGTGAACAGAGGAACGAACCGAGACAGCTGTCCGCCAGGACGCAGGATACACCCCGGACATGAACCTCATGGTTAGACAAACCCCGAGAATCCAGCAAACGAGCCACTACGGAACCAACCCCAAAGGTCAACACCTAAGAGAAACCCTGTGGTTCCGGCAAGAACCGCCAGAGAACAGTCTGAACGGAGCTGAATGGTAGAGCACCGAGTGACCCAAACCCTCTGAAGCGCAAACCAGACAGCCACGAACTCCCGAACCGTGCTGTGAGCCCGATGGACGGACAGACTCCACTATCCCCGGCCGACCTGGTGAGCACTGGTCACAAAGCCCCAGCAGAGAGATGACCCGTCCGTGAACACACCGAGCGAAGGCTCAGGGAGGTGCCAAGGCACGGAACCCCGAAAAACCCCAAAGAGGAAGCTGGTGACGCACCACCAACACAAGATCCCTGGAGGAACGAACCCAACGAAAGCAAGAGGGGGAAGGGGAGTCTCCAAAGGAACCAAACAGACGCCGAAGCCAAACCCGACCCCGCGGGCAGACCAGCACATCGAAGTTCAGACTCCCGCACAACTGCTCAAGCAACCGGTGAGCAACCTGGGACCCCCTCATGTACAGCTGAAGGCGGGACCACAGCCGCAGTAACACTTCTGGAGGGAAAGACAAGGAGTGACCCAATAGCCCTAAACAAGGCCCAGGTCCGAACCTGGGACGGAAACAGATGGAATGGCCTCCAGATCACCAGGAAACCAAACCCGGCGATCTAGAAAGAACCACACCCCTGGCGAGCAGACAAGCGGACTGGCTGGGAGCCCACACCAGCCAGTCGTCGAGGTAGGTCAGACACCGAATCTCAAGCAGACTGAGACAGGGCACTAAGATCCGGTAAAGATGCAAAAAATACACCAAGTGCCAATTACAAAAATAGGGAAGGCAACAAAAGCAGCAAGCCTGACGCCCCACCACCAACTGTGTCAGTCCCGGAAAACTGGAGAGGAACGTGCCAAGAAGTGACCTGAAGGTTCAGGGCCACCATCTAGGCACCCGGCCCCAACAGAAGCCGGACAGGAGACAACAGTCCTCCGAGGAGGGCGTAGAATCCAGGGCGCAGACTGAAGAAGTCCAGAAGAACCGAGTCCTCCGAGGAGGGCGTAGAATCCAGGGCGCAGACTGAAGAAGTCCAGAAGAACCGAGTCCTCCGAGGAGGGCGTAGAATCCAGGGCGCAGACTGAAGAAGTCCAGAAGAACCGCAGATGCGAAAGGCCCATGACTGCAAAGAGCAGACGGGAACCCCAGAAGGATTGGCGGAAAGACCACGTCCAACGCACCCACTAAGATGACATGACGAAGCGCAGGGGAAGAAGCCTACCCCGCCAGCTCTGAACCCCCCCAAAGGGGGAGAAGCCGTCCACCGACGCCACCAGAGGCTGGAAGACAACCAAAAGCACCCACCAACAGCGTGATCATGCGAGTCAACAGAACAAGCTGCTCCCCCAGCACCCCGTCAACAGAGAAGGGAACAGAGCCCCTTCCGAAAGAAAAAGTACACACACACACACATTACTGTATGTATTGTGACAGGAAAATGAAGGAGTGTAGATGTTCGGCAGTCCTCCTAATGGCTGGTGTCAATGCCTATCACATTAACCCTTAACATGCTCGGGGTCTAATATCCTGCCATCCGCACAGGCGCATGTCATTTTGAAAAAAAAAAAAAATTTTTTTTTTTGCTAATCTGTTAAGTTCTGTTCACTGATCACGGGAAAAATAAAAAAAAAATTCTATTGTACTTACTTTTGTTGCAATAGAGCCGAGAAGCTCGGTGATGACGTCACAATCTGCATGTTCGCTCATGCAGTACACGCCCGGGAGGTGTTGCGCGCGGTCCTCAAACAGCCAGAGTTGCCACAAATATATTTTCGCGCTATTTATTTACAATGTCTAAGCGCATTTTATCTAATTTTTTTTCACTAATTGTGTTTCAAATACTGTTTGAACATATTTTGTATCAATAATTGTTGCATATTTGAGTATACACAGGCGCACACAAATGTTTTCAATTACGGCAATATAATATGTCATTACAGTCTATTATATTGTATGTTCTGCTTATATTTGTATATATTTACACACACGCACACGCTATCTGCTTATATGTTTACATATTTACACACTCGCACACGCTATACACACTTTGAAGCACACTTAGAAGATTTCTAGACTGTGGTAGTCATTGAAGCAGTCGACAGCACATAATGGGATACCACACGTTTCACACCATGTTTGCACAAGCTTCCGTTTCTTGTCTCTACGTGTCGTTGTTTTACACACCAAGCAATCACGTTGGGCTATTGCACGCTTCACACCAGGTGGCAAATACTTAAGTTTGTGTGCTAGGAAGCCTTCAGTGTGAGCGAGGCGTGGAGTACCAGCATGCTGCAACAGTGGGTTTATGATGGGCCGCTGAATACCTGGGACATCTTTTGCAAACTTTCCTAATAACTGTATTGCAGCATCAAATACAAAGTCACGGAAAGTGGGCTTACGTCCAGTTCTCACAAGGTACATGTTGAAACAGTTCAGCATGCTCATGTCCACAAGATGGAAGAACACTTTTTTCGTCCACCTACATGTCTTCCGCACACACTCTGCAGTGCCAATCATCATGTCTGATTTATCAATCAACCGCATGTTGATATTATAGTCTAAAACACAGTCTGGCTTATATAGTGGTGCGTTTGTTTTATGGCTCACTTTCCCACTGTTCACCATTGTTTCATCATGAATTGTTGTCAACAAGTTCACCTCTCTTTTGTCTTTCCACCGAACTGACAGAATGTTATCACTTTTCCTTCTCTGACACTCACCAACTGCAATGTCGTTGTCAAACACAGGCATTTCCCTTCGTTGTGGCTTTACTGTACCAACCAATCCGGTTCTATTTTCTAGCAAGAACCGAGCTAGCAAGGGACTTGTATAGTAATTATCTGTGTATAAAATGTGTCCCTTGTTCATCCACGGAGGCATGATGGTCTTCACTACACTCCCCGAGAATCCATGTTCGTCGTTACCGGGAATGTCTACATCACTAGCCGAGTACAGAATCATGTGTAACACGTATCCTATCTCACAATCACAAAGAACAAAAAATTTCAGGTCAAATCGGTTTCGTTTTGAGGGAATGTACTGTTTGAATGGAACACGTCCCTTGAAAAGTATGAGAGATTCATCAACCACCAGCTTCTGTGCTGGTACGTAAAAATCTCTGAATTTTCCAATAACATCGTTCATGTAGTGCCTCACTCGCCACAGTCTATCATCAGGTGTTCGGTCCTGAACACTTCCAAAATGTAGACACCTGAGGAGTATCTGAAACCTATCTCGTGACATATATTTCCCGAATAAAGGTGTTGGTATTGTCTTGTCCTTGCTCCAATAGTCATTTATTGCATGTTTGTGACAGTGCTTCATCAACAAACAGTGCCAAAAACACATACATTTCCGCCACTGTGGTATTTTTCCAACGCTGCAGTCGTGAAAATTCTGTGATTTCCCTCTCAATCAGGTAAGCAGCATGCAGGTTCGTTTGGTGTACAATGTATTCCATGAGTGGTTCATCATAGAATGCTGTAAAATATTCCATCTCAGCCATGTCCTCACCTTGATTAGGGAAAAGGTTTGTAATCCCTACATCTTTATCGTCAAAGTGAGGAATATTAGGAATAAAATCGTCACCATCACTCCACTCAAGTACACCAGGCGTCCTGCGAGATGCAGAGGAAAGACGGCGAGGAAGCGATGCATACCGGCGACCAGGAGCTGAATACCGTCTGCGAGAAGCACGGCGGCTACGTGCACATGAGGTGGGTGCACGTGAGGTGGGTGCACGTGAGGTGGATGCACGTGAACACGAGGGTCTTGGTCCCTCATGTGGTGCCATGCGGTGGCGCTTGGCCGGGCGAGATGCTGCTGACGCAACAATTTCTCGCCCAGTTACACCACTGGTACCAGCCACAGGCTCAATAAAATTGTGATCTGAGTCACTAAACCCAGAAAAGGAGTCACCTCCCTCTGACTCGTCACCCTCAAACAGAAAATATCCACAGGAACTGTGAGGTCGTGGTAGAATTGGGGTAGAAACTGGGCGAGGAGGCATCAGTGAGCGTATAGGCCTCGCCATGGCATGGTGGTCATTCTCACTTTCACTGCTGCTGCTACTATCACCCGACAACTGTGTATAATCCTCATCGTTGTCTGAATCGTCAAACACACTTTCTTCACCTTCAGAGAATAATTCGTGGGCTATTTGCTCTGGGGTGAGGGACTGAGTGGTGCGTGCCCGTGAGGCGTTTGACCGTGCGCTCGCCATGGTGACTCTCGCTAAACTGAGGCCTCCCATGCCTTCGGATCGTGAGCGGGAATTTTTTTCAAAATGGCCGCTGTTTACTAGAGCCCCTGGGCAGCATATGGGACCCCCAGCTACACCGCGGGCCATTCAAATCGTGCGCGGTACCCATACACTTCATATGAAGTGAAGCGCAGTTGACTGGTAAAACGATTTACACTTCATATGAAGTGATGCGCACTTTAAGGGTTAAAGAAAAAAAAGATTGAATGCTTGGCTGTTGTCTGTGGTAAAGTAAGGGAATACACGCAAAACACATAGTATGAATAATGAAACTTTAATTAAATTGAAAGCAAATTAAAAACAAAGACAATTCCTTGGCTATGTACAGTGCAAACAAGTAAAAAAATATAACAAAAATAAGAACAGGGATGACGTTACTCAATAATATAAAGACAAAATGAAATAAGCAGGTGCTGAGAATAAAGCACTAGCTGAGAAACATCTACCTGATAGACAGCGTATATCAGTTAGTTGTTCACAGCTTGAGAGCACAAGATATTCTAACTTCAATGACTGGTTCAAGCCTAGACATCGACTAAGTAGAGGGCGCTGAGGTGCAGGTGTGCAGTCGGCGGGTCACCAATCAGAAGCAGGCAGGCTGGGAATGGTAGTTTGCTGGTTGATGATGGTGGCGAGCCGGCATGGAGGGAGTGTGGAGTAGGGGGGAGTTTAGGGTACGTTTGCCTCCTGGTCAAAACGTTTTGTGCTACTAGTAGATGTATCTTGAAGGTAGCATCTTATTGTTGTAGTCCATGCAAAATACTGCGAACCGGTGCCCAAAACTACCAAGCAAGCTTCTAAAAGCTGAACCCCCGGGATATGTCCACTCACAGGGGCCTAGCAAGGGGTATCACCAAGAACACAGAATTGTCTATCTAAAGATCCCCAAAGATAGATAGGGGGCAACCAATCAAAAGTAGACACCCCCACCAGGCAGAAAAACAAAAACAAATGAAAACCTCCGCAAGAGGACAACGTACCCAGGCGAAACAGAGCCGGCCGCTTTAAGAGGTGATAACTAGCTGTGCAGAACCCTGCACCCCTACCAGTGATGAAAACTACCTCCTACCCAGAGGCAAGTAAGGGCAACAGAAACCCCAGCTGACTCCAAGGGTAGCCAAATACTTAGCAGTAAAAGACACAGCAGAGGTAGATCCCAAGGAGACTTGTGGAAGGTGGCCCCAAGCCCCAAGGACAGTACTTACAGGACACCTAAGGAAGGAAACCCTAGGCACATGCAGCCCGAGCACCATAGAATATTACTCCTGGCTCACACACCACCTGTAGAGACAGCCCATGCCACAAGGCACAGAAACTGAAACCAAAGCAGGAGCCAGAGGCACCTGACCTGCCAGTATCACATCAGCCAAGAACTGCCGGCTGAATCGCCGGCGTGAGGGTCTGGGACTTCCCCCCCATCCAGGGGAGGGAGGGGGGTTGCACAGACAGCGGCGTGGCAACGTGATGACATCATGCTAGTTTGCTAGTTTTCGTTTGGGCAGTTCTATCCACTCGTTCGGCTTTTGGTTGCAATATTTTCACCAGAGCAGGGATTTATTTTGGGGCACCTACCTTTCTGGGTGCCAGACCCGGTCGATGGCAGACATAGAATGCTTCCACCCACATGGGGGTTTCTATAGGCCATTGCTCCTCGTGCCTCTCTGAGGGGGGCCAGGTTCTGGCTCATGGTCCCTGGTAGGCAAGAACTCCATGTACTTTGATTGATGCCAAAAAGCTAATAGTTACATATCAGCCTGGACAACTCCGGGAAGCTGTCAGGGCTCCCCCCCAGAAATGCAGTGCAAATAAAACATTAAAACTGAAGCCAAATACTAATAAATATTTCCAACTCACCTTTTGCAATTCTATGGCCACAGGTTGTCTAGGTGCTTTATGTTGATATATATGGTCTAAGGTCTCTCTCCAAAACTGGAAACGCATTTTTGCCATCACTACCTCAGACGTCATGTCAGATACCTATAATTAACCAATTATCATCTGTCACATGCTAAGCCAGGTTCATATATACCTCTCTGAATACTAGTGTACCTGTGCTCAAATATACACTATATGAGATCCACTGCTGGCATCACAGCACTCAAAAACTTGTCAGTATTCACACAAGGCAGGTAAATAAAATAACCTTAAATCAATGTTCACCACATTGCAATTATTTTTTGGAAGTTTAGTACAGTACAATCATATTGCAAGTTTGGACGAAATCTTAGATAAAAAACTACAGCACTTCATTATCATATCAACATAAAAGCAATGAATCAGAATACTGGCTTACTTTTTAATGGTTAGAGAGGCATAATGTTGAGACTTAACAGGTCAACATTTCTGAAATAAAATGAGTCATTTAACCAATTTTAAAAGATTACTGTACTTTGAATTTTTCACAAAATTTCAATAAAGAATTTATATATTTTGCTCTGGCACAGCAAACAGGCCAAGTTAATTTTCATTGTGAAGTTATATATAAAGCATGAAAATCAAGTATTGAATAGTATCCACTTAATTTAACGGCCTATATGGGCCTGAGCCCTAGTCGTTATTTCCGGAGCTCCGTTATTTCCGAAGTTAAGTCGGGTCGGGTAATTTTTCAAGTAACATTCAGGTAGGATATATTTTATACTGTATAACTAAAATTAAATAAAGTTCATTGTGTAATTGCATTCCAATTTAGTGCCACACCGACGATTAAGCCAGTTGTTGGCTGCTGCATGGATGATGTGTGAACACGGTCTGATCAAGCCCAGATGGGTGGGAAAAAATTGATTCATTCCTTTGTATTGAAAAATATTTCATGTATCAATCAGCAAGTTAATATTTTCTCAATAATATTTTAGAGATGTGTTTTGATTTACCCTGAACAGTGCAGGTAATGTATTTTTAATGTTACAACACAGGCTGTGGCGGCCATGCCATAACAATGGCGATCGAGCCTTGTCACTGAGAGCTAGCCAAGACGAAATATTTTGAGCTCACCTATTCTCTGCTGACGATAGAATATACATTTGCAGAGACTAATATGTAGCTTTTGTTGAAAAAAAAACAATTAATATCTTGTAATACTATAATAAAATTGGTAAATTGACTTACTTTTAATGAAGCTGAAGATTACGAAGCTGTGAAGATTACGTCATCCTCTGCAGCGCTTGTTTTATATTGTTTATATTGTATACAGGGTACATACTGTATGTACACTTATTTTCAGGCATATTTTAATAGAGTATCCTTCTGTTTCTTGATGTCACTTACTGTACTTTTCCCGATGTTAAACTCTGCTGCTGCTCGTGCATGAGAATATCCTTTATCAAGTTTCTTAATTAACTCCAGCTTCTGTGCAACCGTCAGGCGCTTCCTTTGGGTAACTTTTGGCATTTTTGTAAATTAAAAAGAAGATCACAATTACAGTACAGTAATATCCTTCACAATTGAAGCTAGCCGCGCGAGTTCACAGTAAACAATGGGAACACATGGCCCGGCGGAGTACATTCTAGGTCCGTGGGAAAAAAATACCTAGTGCCTATACTATAAAAGGTATTTAATAAGAAAACAAAGAATTTTGCTTAATAAAAACTGTTTCAAAATATTTTATTAATAATAATTTACAATTTTCTTCATTAAAGTGAATCATTTTAAAAGAAAATTAAGATGTAATATATGACTCTGGACGATCCAGGTCGGTGGCCTGGTCGCCATGTGAGGGGACGCTGATGCCACAACAAACCCAATACCGACAGACCGTCGGTAATATCGACCGCAGACCGGTATAGCAGGCTCCAGATACCGGTCTCCCAAACCGGTCGTTAATACCGGCAGATCGGTATAAAAGAGGCCGTTAAATTGAGTGGATACTGTAATGCAGCGCCCATTTCTGGTGGGCCCCCTCTAATAGAGATAAATGTAAAAACACTGAAACCCCAGTCCTAGTGAAATGCTTCTATTGTGAATGAATTTACAATTTGGTAATGGCGCCACAGACTAGAAGGTGCTGATTCCATGCAGAGGTCCCCGTGAGGACAACTTCATGTATTGAAGAGCCAGTGGAAGGAGGCCTCATCCATTGTCCACTCTGCCATGAGTGGACAAAAACAAAAGACCATCTATATTCCTTTCATAAATGTTATTATGAACTGCAGTGAGATCTAAACCCCGAGAAGCCCGGAATGGGTGCTATCTTGAGATGATTTCGGGGCTTTTTTGTGTCCCCGCGGCCCGGTTCTTGACCAGGCCTCCACCCCCCAGGAAACAGCCTGTGACAGCTGACTAATACCCAGGTACCTATTTTACTGCTAGGTAACAGGGGCATAGGGTGAAAGAAACTCTGCCCATTGTTTCTCGCCGGCACCTGGGATCGAACCCGGGACCACAGGATCACAAGTCCAGCGTGCTGTCCGCTCGGCTCCCTTATCTATCTTGGCTATCCTCAGACTAGCTCCGCAAAAGACAGACCCCATATAAATAATACCGTACAGTAATTTGCTTTGCTGGGAACAGGAAGCCTATGAGTATAATAAAATAAATAAATAAATAAATAAATATATAAATATATATATATATATATATATATATATATATATTATATATATATATACCTAGTAGCCAGAACGCACTTCTCGGCCTACTATGCAAGGCCCGATTTGCCTAATAAGCCAATATTTTCATGAATTAATGTTTTTTATACATATATTATATATTATATACATATATATATATATATATTTATTATATATATATATATATATATATATATATATATATACCTAACCTAACCTAACTTTTTCGGCTACCTAACCTAACCTATAAAGATAGGTTAGGTTAGGTTAGGTAGGGTTGGTTAGGTTCGGTTATATATCTACATTAATTTTAACTCCAATAAAAAAAAATTGACCTCATGCATAATGAAATGGGTAGCTTTATCATTTCATAAGAAAAAAATTAGAGAAAATATATTAATTCAGGAAAACTTGGCTTATTAGGCAAATCGGGCCTTGCATAGTAGGCTGAGAAGTGCGTTCTGGCTACTAGGTACGACACACACACACACACATATATATATATATATATATATATATATGTCGCACCAAGTAGCCAGAACGCACTTCTCAGCCTACTATGCAAGGCCCGATTTGCCTAATAAGCCAAGTTTTCATGAATTAATTGTTTTTCGACTACCTAACCTACCTTAACTTTTTCGGCTACCTAACCTAACCTGACCTATAAAGATAGGTTAGGTTAGGTTAGGTTAGGTAAGGTTGGTTAGGTTCGGTCATATATCTACGTTAATTTTAACTCCAATAAAAAAAATTGACCTCATACATAATGAAATGGGTAGCTTTATCATTTCATAAGAAAAAAATTAGAGAAAATATATTAATTCAGGAAAACTTGGCTTATTAGGCAAATCGGGCCTTGCATAGTAGGCCGAGTACGACGTTCTGGCTACTAGGTACAACATATATATATATTATATATATATATATATATATATTATATATATATATATACACAAATTCATATATATATATATAATATATACACACACACGCACATACAAATACAATGGTACCTCCGTTTACAAATTCAATCTGTTCACAGAGACGGTTCATAAACTGAAACAAATTTTCCCATAAGAAATAATGTCTATTGTCCCAAAAATATTACCTTAAAAATACATTTCATACATAATATCTGTACTACAAGTATTTTGAACTACACTATGTACAAGTTATATCTTATCTTTACTAACTCTTCTTGGCATATCGAAGACAGTCAGGAGGGAGGGGGGGGGGGGGGGGGAGGAGGAGAGGTGTTAGTGTTTGGAAGGGGAGTCCCTTTCCATTTTAACATCAGGCAGTGATGACATTTCTGGGGTACTCTCTTACATTTTGCAGGCATAACCTCTAAGCATCTGTCTACAGACACTTGCTTTTCCCTATGTTTTAACACTTGTCTTTAGTGAGATATCACATTGTCTCACTCTGAATGAAATCTTGTTTTCCCTCTAGCGTCATCCTCACATTTGTTTTCCTAGGTTGAACCTTACCACTGACTTTCTTGGGACCCATGGCATGATATATAATAACTACTTTTATGTTCAGAAACAAAAAAACCAGCGTTGATTGTAATGAAATGCCATTTTTTGTGTGAGACCTGGAGGTTCCCTGGAGATATACCAGGCTGATGTGTGTATATATTAGACCGTGGCAATAGTTAATCGAAGGAGTTCTAAGCCTACCAGGGACCAGAGCCAGAATCTGGCCCTCTCAAGAGAGGCACGAGGAGCAATGGCCTAAAGACCCCTGTGTAATTGGAAGCAGAATATTAACCAGGGAAGAAGAGGAGATATTAGACATCTATTACATTCCTCCTGTGGGAAAAAAAAAGAGTGATCATGTCCTGTTTGAAATTATATATGCGTTGCGATATACTCTAGAAGAGAATGGGGACATTGAAACAGTTGATAAAGTTGATTTCGAGAGAGGGCACTATGAGGAACTTGGTAATTTTTTTAATGAATTTAATTGGACAGACTTGTTGCTAGGCAAAGAAGTAAATGATATGTATGCCACATTTTGTGAAATATATAAAGAAGGCACACAAACATTCATAGTAAAACTGAGATGCAGAACCAGAAAACAGCATGGGTTCAACAAAAATTGTGTGAGGGGCAGAGAGGAAAAGATAAGTTAATGCGATCAATATAGGAAGAGGCCTAACCCTCAAACATACCAACACTAAAAGCAAGCAAGAAACAAATACACAGCTGTGAGGAGAGTGGCAGAACGGAACTTTGAGAAAGGTATTGTGGACAAATGTAAAACAGATCGAGGCCTTTTCTATAAATTCATTAAAAGCAAGCTGCATGTAAAAGATAACATCCAAAGATTGAGAATGGGGAACAGATTTACTAAGAATGAACAAAAAATATGTAAAATACTAAATGAACAGTTCCAAAGTATGTTTGTACAAAATGAGAATATCAGAGAGCGGACCGAATGCTAATTCCAGAGCACTCCTTAGAATACAAAGAGGTATCTCAAGACGAAGTGGAAAAATTACTCAAGGGGCTAGGAAGAAATAAACCAGATGGAGTTTCACCTTGGGTGCTGTGAGAATGTGCAACCGAGCTGAGCATTCCATTCCAATAAATATTTCAGACAATCTTGTGCACAGGAATCATACCAGATACTGCATATGGAAATATTTTCTCTAATTTTTTTCTTAAGAAATGATAAAGCTACCCGTTTCATTATGTATGAGGTCAATTTTTTTTTATTGGAGTTAAAATTAACGTAGATATATGAACAAACCTAACCAACCCTACCTAACCTAACCTAACCTATCTCTATAGGTTAGGTTAGGTTAGGTAGCCGAAAAAGTTAGGTTAGGTTAGGTTAGGTAGGTTAGGTAGTCGAAAAACAATTAATTCATGAAAACTTGGCTTATTAGGCAAATTTGGCCTTGCATAGTAGGCTGAGAAGTGCGTTCTGGCTATTAGGTACGACATATATATATATATATATATGCGGAAAATCCACAGAGAAATATGAAATGAGGTGAACGTTTCGGCTTTGTTAAAGCCTTTGTCAACACCAGACTCATCTTTCCCCATATATATATATATATATATATATATATATATATATATATATATATATATATATATATATATATATATATATATATATATATATATATATATATATATATATATATATATATATATATATATATATATATATATATATATATATATATATATATATATATATATATATATATATATATATATATATATATATATATATATTTATATATATGTATATATATATATATATATATAATATATGTGTCGTACCTAGTAGCCAGAACGCACTTCTCGGCCTACTATGCAAGGCCCGATTTGCCTAATAAGCCAAGTTTTCATGAATTAATGTTTTTTCGACTACCTAACCTACCTAACCTAACCTAACTTTTTCGGCTACCTAACCTAACCTAACCTATAAAGATAGGTTAGGTTAGGTAGGGTTGCTTAGGTTCGGTTATATATCTATGTAAATTTTAACTCCAATAAAAAAAAATTGACCTCATGCATAATGAAATGGGTAGCTTTATCATTTCATAAGAAAAAAATTGAGAAAATATATTAATTCAGGAAAACTTGGCTTATTAGGTAAATCGGGCCTTGCATAGTAGGCTGAGAAGTGCGTTCTGGCTACTAGGTACGACATATATATATATATATATACAGGCATACCTCAGAATAAGAGTTTAATCCGTTCCTGGAGACGCCTCGCCTTCCGAAAACTCGCATTCCGAAGTTAATTTCCCCATAAGAAATAAAGGGAAATGAATTAATCCGTTCCTGACTACCCCAAAAACCCCACATCAAACTAAATTTTTATACCTAATTTACCTAATTCATCTAAATAAACCTACAAAACTGTGTTCCAGTTATTACTTACCTTGCTGTCCAGTGCTGTAGGCGTATGGAAGATGGTGAGGAGGGGGGAGGAGGAGAGGAGTTACTGTTTGGAAGGGGAGTCCCCTTCCATAATCACATCACATAACCCCATGCCTTGTAACACCATGGATACCACTTCTCTTTCTAAATTTTTCAAACCAGCCCCTGCTTGCCTTAAACTCTTTCTTATCTGCATCACTCGTTGCAGGGGTATTCTTTAGAAGGTCTTCGTGCAACACCCTGGCTTTCTCACAAATAATGGCCTCCGAAACACTATCACCCCTCAACTCCTTGTCGTGTATCCAAATTAATAACAACTTTTCCACTTCTTCAAGTATTTGTGGTCTTTGTGCCGTTAATGTTCTTACTCCTTTTGCCACTTTAGCACCCATAATCTTATTTTTCTTCTTAAGTATAGTGCATATTGTTGATGTGGTTTTGTTGTACTGCCTACAAAGTTCAACAACACGTGTACCGTTCTCATGCTTCCGAATGATCTCTTGTTTCTCCTCTATTGTCATCCTCACATGAGCTTTCTGGCCTTTATCCTTACCACTGGCTTTCTTGGGACCCATGGTGAGATATATAATAACAAATTGTATAGACAAATCACCAAAAATCCAACAAAACACTGAAAATCCGCAAGAAGAATTGATGTGGGGGTAGTCACTGAGCGCGAGACAATAATAAACTGAGGGGCGGAGGGGCGACGAACGCGCTAGGTCGGCTGTACGCGTATCAACAAACTCGCCTCCCGAAGTAACCCTCGCCTTCTGAGACAAATTTTTGGAGTAAATACACCTCGCCTTCCGAAAACCTCGCATACAGGGACAATCGCATTCCGAGGTACCACTGTATATAGAAGTTGTTTTGGAAACAAACATGCTGGAGGGGTGACAGAGACTTCTGACATGGAATAAAAAATGGATTTTCACTAATAAAGTGACCTGCGCTGCCATCTGGTGGCGAATGGAACATCAGAATTAGGGTAGTTACCCCCACAGTAATAATCATTTGCCTTATTTCATTCCAATAGTCACATGTTTTGCTGTCAGCTGTAAGTAATATTTTAATTTTCCAATCTTAGCTTATTACCTGTATTATTAGTATCAATATTAATTTTACCAAATGCAATATGCAGGACTTACCTGAGATAATTCTGCATTGAATGCACGTATAGCTACAGCTGTGGCTCGGACACACTGTGGTAGTAGCAATACACACAGGAAGTTTTCATAATCATTTTGTCTGAAAATGAAATATATTTTGCAACTTTATATTAAAGACTTCTTTAATACAAAAACAAGGTTGTATATAGTAAACTTAAGCCAAAACAAGCACTCAAGAGATACATTTATCCTCAAATTAATTGAAATACTGTAAAATAAAACACCAGCGTTGAATGTAATGAAACGCCATTTTCTGGGTAAGCCCCAGAGGCTCCCTGGAGCTATTGGGCTAATATTAGACCGGGGCATTAGTCTATGGAGTTTAGCCTACCGGGGACCACGAGCTAGAACGTTGCCCCCTCAGAGAGGCACAGGGAGCAAGTATTTATGCTTGTTTTTAGTCACTAATAAAGTGTATTTAGTTACTGTATTTTTGGGGTAATACTGTACTTAAAAGTATGAGATGCAAGGTAACATATATGTAAATAAATTAAGAATTGAGTAAATGATATACAATATCTTAGCTAGTGCTAACTTAATGCTAAAGGGTATGGACTACTTTACTTTATATTCAACTGTTTTGAAGTAAATATTTCAGTACAGTAGTAAGTTTACATTTAATATTAACAATAATATAGTAGCAAAAACAATTGGCTTAATTGTTAAAATATGCTTTGCCCGAAACGCTTTGCGTAATAGTGGCTTTAGGCATTGTATGTACTAGCTCTATCTATAAGTCCACCAATCTTTGTAAAAATTTCTTGTATGTATGTACCTTACCTAAATAAACATTTATTTATTTATTTATTATTTAATTAGGGTGAAGTACTGTATACAAATTATGCTTAGTGTAGTAGATATATAAACGACTACAAAATGTAAATCAGGTATTGTACTTCTTTGTAGCATTTTTTTAATCATTTAAAGGAATCACTGAACAGCATTTTACTGTATTTGGGAGGTCATTTTACAATTAAGAATTCTTTATTTCAGCCCATCCTCCTGTTTAGATAGTAGTAACGATGTGGACCATCATACATATATTGGCATAATGGAAAATTAGACGGTAGAATTTGGTACTATTGAATTTGGACAAACCAGAAAAAGTTTTGTGTTTAAGATGCAAATAAAACCTAACCTAACCATCCTATGCTTAATACAGTACTGTATATTCTATCTATGGTTTAATATAGCACATACAAGTGTTATACTAGGCAAAGAGGTATTTAAGATTAGTTTTTAGCTTTATTATTTTCTACACTCTATAAAGTGAATAGCACCAAACTCTGCTATCTAACTGTTCATTACGTCAATATATGTATGAGGACGAGGAGTCACAATAACGTGGCTAAAATATGTTGACCAAACCACACACTAGAAAGTGAAGGGACGGTGACGTTTCGGTCCGTCCTGGACCATTCTCGAGTCGATTGTATATGTATGAGGGGTCCACATTGCTACAAAAATTACTATCTAAACAGGAGGATGAGTGGCTTTATTTGCATAGCTGCAATTAGCCACTTAACTGTAAATACTGGTACAGTGGAACCTCGACTTACGAATGCCCCTACTTATGAATTTTTTGAGTTATGACCCCAATTTCGTCGGAAAATTTTTACTCAACTTACGCCCTTTGCCTCGACTAGCGTCTTTGTTGATACACGTCTGGGTCAACCAAGCGCGTGGTTCCTGGTGGCATGGGCGACCCCGCCTCAGTTTACCAGAGCCACCCGCTTAGTGACGAATGCGCTTGAATTCTTTATAAAGAATTTAATTTTTTCTGCTTTTTTTATTTAAACAAAAATAATTATTATGTATCATGTCATGGGTTCCAAGAAAGTCAGTGGTAAGGTCCAACCTAATAATATAGATGTGTGTAGAGGCAGTAGAGGATATCTCTTTCTCATTAATAAAAAGTGTGAAGTATGGAAAGAACTGCAAAGTTTTGGGGGACAAAACTCACGCAGATAAAGCTGTAGCAGGTACTGACCTTTTAAATGACAATGTGATGTCTCATTACAGACTAGTGTTAAAATGTAGGGAAAACAAGTGTCTTTATTTACAGATTCTTAGTAAGACATGCAAGCAGTGAGCCACAACCAGTTCCTAGTGGTATGCCTGCAAAACAGGAGAGAGAGAACCCCAGAGAAGTCATCACTGCCTGATGTTATAATGGAAGGGGGACTTCCCTTCCAAACAGTAAAACCCCCCCTTCTCCTTCCCCCCTCTCCTTACTGTCTTCCATATGCCAACGAGAGTCCTCAATAAAGGTAAGATATACATGCTGTATTGTAGCTAGTACAAAAAGAGTTGTATTTGGAATAAAATGTATTTTTAAGTTAATATTTTTGGGGAGATGGAACAGATTAATTCAATTTCATTATTTCTTATGGGAAAATTCTTTTTGAGTTATGACCCGTCTCTGGGAACGGATTAAATTTGTAAGTGGAGGTACCACTGTACTAGGAACTTAAGAGGATATCAGGCTAATATCAAAATTACTTTTGCAATTTCCTTAAATTAAGATTGATGAGAGGTTCACTGACGAAAACTTGTAACACCTGCCACTAGGTTACTAAGTCTACCAAATTTTGGATATAGGCCCATGTGGACTGCATTACTTAAACTAGGCACCACTTTATTTGGATACAAGATATTAAAAATAAAAAAATATCAAGAATAAATAGTATTTTTACATTAAATCTTTTTTATATTGATTTTGCTGTCATAAATACTACCTATGATGTCACACCTTGTCCACAGTATATACAAAACATAACTTTTGTGTTAATTTTGTTAAGTTAGGTTTGTTTAAAGATTAGCATTGACAGAGATGGGCTTCACTTGGGCATTTCTTAATGGTAATCAATCAGGAAAAAAACTAAGCCAGTATGACTATAAAAGCGAGTTCTTGGACCCTATTCAATAAATAAGGCAGGGGGTTGCAGATTCAATTCTCTAATAGGACAGTTGACACCTGTTGTGGGTTGCATCCTGGAAAAGGTCAGTAGTTGGCCAAAGGGGACCTTAATAATCTTAACTACAAGCCTCCTGTCCCGGACACTGGGAAACCAAACTAAATCGTTAATAAAATCTAATTAAATCACCTTTGTGATGATTAAGTTCAATGATGAATTAGTCTCTGATAAGAGTAGTACTTGTGCCACTAGAGAATAAAACCTTTAATCCCTGTGGTAGGTGGTAGAGGACTCACTTCACAACCTCCAGACAGTACTGTGTAGTACTAGCGGCCTTTCTTGCCTCACGCGTAGCATACATCCTTCCTGTCCATAGCCTGTTCCTTTCCTTGAGGCGTGGCAGCGTGGGGCGGCCGGTATAGTAAAGATGTTTGGAGAGTCTGAGGGTCCCAGGCACCGAGGCAGCCATGTTTACATTATGCACTCCCAGGCTAGCCAACACTACTTTCCTTCCGTCAAAATTTTCTCAATTTTTCGTCAATCAGAACCGTCGTTAAGACGACTTGTCAGTGATATATGGTGACAAGAGATGAGGGAAGGAGAAGTGTTGATGTGGTAGTGAGAATATGAGTTGTGTGAAGGGGTGTGTGGAGGGGCGTGAGGGGTGGGAGAGGAGGGCGGGGGCGCGGTAGGCGTGCCTGGCCAGTGCTGTCTCCCCCGCCGGACACATCCCACACGTTGGCATCTCTCACACTCCTTCTTCAAATATTTATTTTGGTTCCGCCAAACTTGGCCTCAACCTCCACCATTGACGGATAAAGTTATTGCAACAATTAGTCTAAGGCTCCTGTCGACGGAAGCTTGGCCGCTTGTGGTGTTAGCACACACATGCCACTTCCGTGTTTTTTAGAAGAATGTCGTATAATTAAGCTCGCCAGCATTGTTGGAACATTTTCATTTGGGTGCAAATGGCGACTTATATATTAAGATGAAGTTTGTCACTGTGGAAATTTCCGTGAGATTACTGGAGTGTGTGACGTGTGAGGCAACCAAGTGAGATCTGTAGAGTGAGCTTCTTGTCATAATGGTGTGTAAGGATGAGGTGTGTTTGTGGTTTAAGGACAATGAGCCACACCGCCGCCTCGAGTTGCTATGTGGCCTGCTAAACATGTGTTTACCAATGGAGCTAAGGTTTATTAGCACATGTGTGGAAGACCTCGGTAAGAGGGATTTCCATGACCTCAGGGAAGCTGAATACAAGGCAAACAATACACAGGAAATAAGTCGGTTGTCAAATTTGTTAGACGAGAGGACGCGCAGCAATCTGATAGTGTTCACTGCCTTGCTTAAATCCAGGAATCATACATGTTCCACTCTGCTGTATCAGATCCTGGCGGAGGCTCAGCAGATTCCTCCCTCCGCCGACGTGAACTACGTCAAAGAGATGCTGCTCATCTACACCATGGTCCTACACCACCCAGCCTTTACCTTCGAGCAGAAGAGGGTCATAGCAGAGCTCCACACCAGTGCCTGCAGGTTGGAAGTTCAGCTGTGTCAACGTCAGAGGACCGCTGAGACTGACCTTATAGATGCTCTCTCCTCCCAGACATGTAGTCCAAATATTGAGGTAAACACAATGTATACGAGACCCATCCTCACTCATCATGTCACCTGACAACATTTTTAAGTCGTCTTGAGATTTTTGTTCAGCCAGTCTCAGAGAATAGGAAGAGGTGTTTTGACAGCCAATTAGAAATGTTGTTAGTTAACCTGTATTGTGCAGAGAAAATGTGAAGATACGAGTAATGTTTTTGGTTGTTATGATCTAATCTAATTTTCAAGAAAACTGTTTAAAGTCAGTAATTTTGTCTTTGTACAAAAAGTGGTGTGGAGGAGTGTTACTCATGTATTTGTACCAAGTGACACTCTAGCCAGCAGTTAGGAACATAGCTATCTGTTGGTGTAATCTCACATCAGCCCACTGTGATGTTTCTAAATTATGTTGCATGATCTATAATCGTAGCTTAAGAACATAAGAATCACGGAAACTACACAAGGCCTATTGGCCCATATATGACAGCTCCTATTTATATCCACCCAAACTCATTCATATACAGTGTATGTCTAGCCTATGCTTGAAACATTCAAGGCATCTTACGGCTATTATGCTACTCGGTAATTGATTCTACAAATTGACATTCCTGTTACCAAACCAGCATTTACCCAGGTCTTTCCTAAATATTAACTTATCAAATTTATACATTATCCAACTTATCCATTGTTTCGTGTTCTATTATGTGTTGATACCTTTACTGCAGATTTTGAAATAGGGTTGTAGATTTGTAGAACAAATTACTGGGTAACGTAATAGATGTAAGATCGTTGGATTGTTTCGAGCATAAGTTAGACATATTTATGAACGAGTTTGGGGGATATAAATAGGAACTGGCATCCTGTGCAATATCTAGGAACTTTCAAATTATCTGTAACTACAAAGGGCCAAATAACCATTGTGACTTGTGATGACCAAATCACACACCAGAAGATGGAGAGGCGATGACGTTTTGGGCCGTCCTGGACCATTATCAGGTCGATTTTCCAGGATAAACCAAAAATTATATTGATAAGGGTCCAGGAGACTGACAGCTGAGTGGACAGCGCTTGGGATTTGTAGTCCTGAGGTTCCGGGTTCAATCCCCAGTGGAAGCGGAAACAAATGGGCAGAGTTTCTTTCACCCTGATGCCCCTGTAGATACTTATATATAAGTATCTACATGTTTTATTCACCATAACTATAGCTGGTATAGTACCCAAACAGCATAGTGGCTACCTTACTCAGTATGACAAGTTATACAGATGATGCCACCTCCCTCGCCAAAATGGCTCCTCTTAACATACTCCTATTACTGTTATTACACTAATACACAGGTAATATATAAGTATTTGCATTTGTGTTCACCACTGCGAACCATTAAGCTAATATGGTGATTCCAGACAATAACAGGTGGTCACACACAGTCAGCAGATGACGCTTCCTCAGCATTACTCCCACAATACTACGCACACTGCTAATTATCACAACAATCCTGCTATTGTCATAATCCTGATCATTTTTACCACAGTCAGGGGCCTTCTGTAATACAGTACTATTATCGCTAAATAATACCAGTTACGTATATATATTTGTACATTTTTAGGCGATGCTATGGTCACAAGCTGAACTGCAGTGCTGTTAGTTCATGCTGAGTGTGCCAGCCTTGGTTGCTAACTCAGTACTGAAGCTCTCACACCCGGGAATTTTTTTTAATAGTGACTGTTTACAAGAGCCCTGAGGAAGCTAATGTGAACCCCATGTAGCCTCGGGACTTTTAAATCTTACGTAGTACTCCCAACCATACACAGCAGTGGTGTGGAGTTCCGCGACAGTTATTCATCCCAGCTATTTATGTACTGTATAGTGCAGTTTAAGGGTTAACCCCTGCATTGCCCACCTTTTAAAATGATATTCTTGTGGTGTGCCAAACATAAATTGCTTCAAAAACCGTATTTTTTCTTTTGGTATTGTTAACATTTAAGCTGCTAAGGGACCCCTGAAGACTTTTACACCCCATGCACAAGAAAAAAAATTCATTTGTTTTCGTCTTCTAAAAATGTTCATTTCTGTTCCCTGAGTACAGGAAAAAAAATCGTGAGTGACATAGTTTGGCCGCAATAGGCCGAGGAAGTCTGACGAAATGTGGGCGTTGATAGAGCAAGCGTCAGAGGTGGTTAGCCCTGCCACAAAGATATTATTACCTAATTATTTTAGTGTGTCTGAATTATTTTTTCTTATTTTTTTTTCCAGTAATATTATTCAATAGTGTGTAGTGTTATATATTTATATAATAAAAGTGGTGAATCATTGCTATACTCTAAAGTATGGTGTGTATATTAGTGATTCAATTATGTTCATAAAACAATAAACAAATACTTTTGCTGTTATTACACTATATACACAGGCTATATATAAGTATCTGCATGTTTTGGTAACCATAACGAACCACTAAGTTGGTATGGCGAGTCAAAAAGCAACGAGGAGTGGCCGCCCCACCAGCCAGCCAGCCAGCCACTTGCCATCACTCCCTCCCTGAGCAACACCTCACTAGCCAACATTCTCCTCCCACCATACTGTTTTTGCTTTTATTTACTATATACAGACGTTAAATATAAGTATCTACATGTTTTATTCACCATAACTGTACAACTAAGCTGGTATGGTGCCCAAAGAACATAGTGGCCACCCTCTACGCAGCATGACAAGTCATGCAGACGATGCCACCTCTGTCACCCAAATGACTCCTCTCAACAGTCTCCTTTTGCTGTTATTACACTAATACACGCATTATATATGAGTACAGTATCTATATTTGTGTTCCCTATAGTGAACTGCTAAGCTGGTATGGTGAGTTTAGACAACAGGTGGCCACACAGATTCAGCAGACGACATTACCTCCCTCCCTCAGCATTACTCCTCCCACACAGCGCTAATTATCACAACAATTCTGCTATTATCACAATCCTGATCATTTTTATCACAATTGTGAGTCGTCTGTAATACTGTCATCGCTAAATAATTGCAGGTACATATTTATTTTGACTTCTTAGGCGATGCTGTGGTCATAAGCTGAACAGCAGTGCTGTTAACTCATGTTGCGTGTGCCAGCCTTGGTTGCTCACACAGTATTGTGGCTCTCACACCGGAGAATGTTGCCCACAATTTTTTTTAAACGTGGCATCTGTTTACAAGAGCCCTGAGGAAGCTGATGTGATCCCCGTGTAGCCGCGGGCCATTTGAATCGTGGCCGGCACCCTGCATTGTATATGTATGCCATGCGTATGGTGGGACATGTTACTCTGGTTGTATATATATATGCCATGCACAGTTTAAGGATTAATTGGCACCAAGGAAGCACGAAAATCCAAGTAAAAAGTCTCTACTTCATGCAGTTCAGCTGTAGTGGCCTGGAGAAGGTGCGATTTTTTTGGTAAAAATGAGACAAGTTGCTGCATGGGCAACGTTGACTTTGTCTATTTATTTTCAATGTTTCTCACTTCCCTTTTTGCCAGAAATATATTCTGGTAATCATTCGTTTGCTGCTGTTAAAATTTCAGTCGCTCTTAGTATCGCTGTCCTGCATGTTCCTTAGGCGAAGGCCTTAGGAAAGTCGTTAGATTTGGTAACGTAGGCCACGTTACTAAGGACACTGAGAGATTCAGGATTCAGTGCTGGGAAGACGGGTCACCACGAGCGTAGCTCTCATCCTGTAACTACACTTAGGTAATTACTTAGGTAATTAATTACAAGCCCTAGAAAGGACCGGAGGGAAGCTGTACCGGCAGACGACAGGCGATCCAATAATACGGGAAGGAGCAAAAACCATCCTGAACCTTCGAGAATACAGAAGCAAGCACAAATGACGAAGGCACCGAAAAACCCAGTTGCCCCCGAGACCTAAAGTCATGGAGAACCCCAAGAAGAGGGGAACATGACGGAGAAGTCCTGTCCCTAGTTAAAAGGGATGAACAACGGAGAAGAGTACCCACTGAAAGGACAGAACCAACGGGCGTAAGGGACAATGAACCGTGCCCGGGGAATGGCCAATGCCCAACAACTCGTGCGGAGAGTAGGGAAGGAGAAGCCCCACTCCATGCAACCGCAAGCCCCTCCCAGAGCCTCGGCGTGTTCCAATGGGGCCAGAGGCCCCCCAAGCCAGCCCTTCCCCGGCCCCTGGAACCCACACGGCAGGCCCCGGGGCCGAGCCGTCCCTCGAAAGCCCCAGCCTCAAGAAAAACCGGGGCAGCTGTGAAAAACACGAAGGAAGGGAGCCCACTAACAGACTCATACAACACGGCTGGAGGAACAGGCTCAAATGCCCTGTTGCTACCCCGGAAGGGGAATTCCCCGAGACCAACTGAGTCTCAAAACCATGGAAGCCCCACCCCGACCCTGAACCTACAGACTGTAAAGACCTGGATGCAGGTCTTTACAGGTCAGGAAGGGTCAAGTCAATATGATTGGACATATATATAGGCAGGAGAGAGAGGTGAAGTGAGGTACAATGACAAATATATGAATGGGATAAAATAAGAGCTGCATCATGTGGGCCCATAAAATAAGAGCTGCTTCAATAGGCCTACACATGGACAATAATAGCGTAAGATAGTAGATATTAGCAATGAATTAGTGAGACAAATGTGTATCAATGATCCTACTCAAATCGCCCTTTAACTGATCAATCAAAAAACCAGCATTGAATGTAATGAAACGCCATTTTCTGGGCGAGTCCCGGAGGCTCCCCGGAGCTATTCCATGCTGATATGCTAATGTCAGACTTTGGCATCAGTCATGTGTATGGAGTTCTTAGGCCTACTGGGGACCACGGCCAAAACCGGGCCCCCTCAGAGTGGCAAGGGGAGCAATGGCCTATAGAAGCCCCCGTGTGGTTGGAAGCATTCTATGTCTACCATCGACCGGATCAGGCACCCAGAAAGGTAAGCGCCTCAAAACAAACCCCTATTCTGGTTAAAATTGCTACCAAAAGCCGAACTAGTGGATAGAACTCCCCAACAGAAAACAAGCAAACTAGT